GTTATCAGTGGTTTGTACAGACACGTGTGTATGTTTACAGTAGGTTGTCAGTGTCTGACGTTATCAGTGGTTTGTACAGACACGTGTGTATGTTTACAGTAGGTTGTCAATGTCAGACGTTATCAGTGGTTTGTACAGACACCTCGGTATGTTTACAGTAGGTTGTCAGTGGCTGACGTTATCAGTGGTTTGTTCAGACACGTGGGTATAATACAGTAGGTTATCAGTGGTTTGTACAGACACGTGGTTATGTTTACAGTAGGTTATCAGTGTCTAACGTTATCAGTGGTTTGTACAGACACGTGGGTATGTTACAGTAGGTTATCAGTGGTTGTACAGACACGTGGGTATGTTTGCAGTAGGTTATCAGTGTGTGATGATATCAGTGGTTTGTACAGACACGTGGGTATGTTTGCAGTAGGTTATCAGTGTCTGACGTTATCAGTGGTTTGTACAGACACGTAGGTATGTTACAGTAGGTTATCAGTGGTTGTACAGACACGTGGGTATGTTTGCAGTAGGTTATCAGTTGTTTGTACGGACACGTGGGTACATCTGTATGTTTAGAAAAATCCTTTTCGTGTGGGTCAAGGGGGTCTGAATTCAATTCAAGGTGCAACATGGAAAACGAAGAAAAGTTCATGATTCATTATCAAGTTTTCTTTAAAATCAATCCTTGAAAATGCCATTTTTGCGTAACATTTTGTTACTTTCTTGGGAGGACTAAGATTAGAAGTTTATGTCAGAAAATATGTTTTTGGTATCGACCTTCATAACAAACAGTCGTATCTTACTCAAAAGTTTAAAACAACATGACGTACGTTACGTCGGCAGTAGAATGTAGTCCTATGGTTACAAGACGTTCTCTTTGGACGGAGAAATATTAACATTCCAGACACATTTTCTTGATTAGAAGATTTTTCATTTGCATCCCACTCTGTTGATAATAGCAACTTTGATTAACATTTCAATCAGATTTAATTCATTTCCCTGACGTGTTTCTGTGACCAGTAATAAATTAACGTCGGTAAAGTCATGTTTGTACCTGATATATTTAGAGCGTTTCGACACTTGAACAGTATCGCCCCTTTTGTACAGTAAGCTGTGAGTTAATGCCCCTGCTTCCGTTTTAGAGAAAAATATACGAACTCGGCATCTTTCTCAGCGAATGTGAATTGTCTAATTATAAATACGCATTTGATAGTACGTGTGTTTTATTTTATTCTGAGTTGTTTAAATGCAGAGTGTTTGTTTTATTCACCCATGTGCCATGTGTGTTTTGGATTTCAATACAAATCGGTGAAGTTGAATGTCTTTATATGTTTCTTTTTTATACTTATAGTATTCCTTGGCTTTACATGATTGATAATTGTATAATAAAGAAAATGACAGAAATATATCAGAAAGTCATAACAAATGGACGAAATGAAAAAAAATGACACTTAAAAGGCACTGAGTAAAACTGGAAAAACAAAAAGAAATAAAAGTTTCTCCAGATTGATTTGCCGTAACCTTGATGGCCGTAGTAATCTCTTTTGAAATTCACGATTTTTTTCTGCGCATATCCTCTTCTGTTTCCACACTAGTTAAGACCTCTTTGGATTATTAACGTATGTCCCCTAGCTTCACCGACGAGTCGTAGAAGGACCAAACAGCTGTACGGTGCAGTGTACTTCACTGTTGATATCCTTTATCTATTACCAGGTTTTAGGGGTGTAATCATCTGTGTGTGTCACGTTCACCTTTAAAAAAATCCTTACCTGTCTTAATCTGATATAAATTCGATGAAGAAGGACACGGAACACGAGGAGAAAGAGAAGAGTCAATATCATATAACTGTCACTATTTATATACGCTTAGATCAAAGACTATATATATATATAATTTACGAAAAACAATGTTCCACTCTTTACGTTTTCGTAAATGTAATGCGATAATTACTGCAGTAGTGTAAAGCCGAAATAATCTTCATATCAATGTTTTATATAATATAATCACCAGAAACGTTTAGCTGGATAGTCAACAAATAGACTGACTCAGCTGATCGGGGTAGGACGAGGGTATGATAACTTAAACATGATGGATGTGATGTTAATATCAACAACTTCGTATGTGTGCTGTGAAATTTATTTTATAGTATGAATTTCACTCATTGAAATGTACATTTAAACAAACAATTTGTTCACAGTTTATTCCATTTAAAACTATCATAGAAAACTCACCAGAAGTTTAGACGGTAGAGGGGTTGGTTATATTCTGCCTTTGAATGCTTACACAATACCTCATGATCAGGTAAATGTGAGTTTCGTGTGATTTTCCTTTAACAAAGTAGAGATTATCATATTAAAGTGGTTCGATTTTTCAAAAATGTCTCATCAAAAGCTGAGAAATGAAGACCACATGCGACAACGGGAATTTGTGTATCGCAAACGATAAAAGGGAGGTAACTCGGATATCCATGAGGTTCCGGTTTAGGTATATACATATGAAATACTAATTACAATATAAATTATCTGTGCCAGCAAAACGTTATAAATGTGTAGCGTTTTAAAGCTTTTCATAAGAACCTTTACGTTTTTGCTGTATTCTACATATTATTCGGTTCAGTTAAGACATTAATTGTTCATTGTTTTGTCTGAATTTGTCACAGAGGATACCTAAACGGACGAAATTACCATATGATGCTGTAAAATATTCAATTTTGCTTGCTGCATTCCGCATTATTTTGTTTATTAATTTTGGCTAACTTTGGTAATTTTGGCTAACTTTGTTTTTTTGATACATTTTCGGTTTTCTTTTCACACGGACTGTAGCGCGGCAATAGGCCATGACTGATGAATCGTTATAAACCAGGGACTATTAATTGTAGAAATTTTCCCTCACCTCAAATACAACAAATATCTGGTCAAATGATAAAAACGACACGCGACAACGGGAATTTGTGTATCGCAATCTATTAAAGGGAGATAACTTGGAAAGTGAGATTCAGGTTTTGGTGTGTTGCTGGTGGACTATTAATCCCCCGTAGCCTTGAAGATGGAATTTATTCTGACACAGTTTACACATGAAATACTGATAAAAGTATGAATAATCTGTGGTAGCCAAAAGCTAGAAAACTGTCATGGTTTAAATGGTATTTGGATATATTTTCCACACGGAATGTAGCGCCGCAGTAAGCCATGACTAAACATGATGAATCGTTACAAACCAGGGACTATTTGTAGAAATTTCCCCTAAACTCAAATATAACAAGTATCCCCTTACTTCAATTAGCCGACAATAAAGGTATAGTAATCCCTTGCAAAGCACTTTAAGTATAAAAATATAGGGCCTGACTCCAAATGTAAGATATATAATGAATTTTCGTGGTTTTTTGATTTCAATAATTTCGTGGGAAATCTTCATATTTTTACAGATTTGTTATAAAGGTATTCTCCGTTCTAGTGGTTACTCATAGTCCACGAACTCATGTTCCCACATGGGAATTCGTCGGAAATTGGAGCTCCACGAACGAAAATATTTTGTTTCAAAGTACCTGTAGGTCCTTATACATGCATCCTCAAGGTTCAAAGAGCTATTTCCTTGTACGATACTTTTTAGTTAAGACTGACATTCGACTTCATTTTTTTACGTTGGGGGTTTCAATTTATTTGTCACAAGGGTAGCATATCGTCAGATGTGACATTATAGCAAAAGTGGATAAAAAGAGTCGAGAAAACACACAATATTTTTATTATTTAACTTTAATAAATACGACAGTGTGACCGATACTGACAACAGACAGTTAATACTCCCAAAGATCGATCGGTCCGTAGCTAGTCCAGTACTTACTGCAATAATACCTTACGGCTGTGGCAGCGCTGTACGATAACAATACAGCTATACATGTAGTCGAAAAAAGACACTCGAGAAACGCAGCCCTGTTCACTATACCATACGAATGATTATTATATACATTGCCGTCGATTTTTGACAATATTAAATTAAAAAACTGAAAATATACATCGCGTTTATGATACGTTTACTATAAAAAATTGAGAACTTTCAATTAAATGTTAATAAATCAGTTATAAGAAACAGTGAAATTAAAAAAATATATAAATGGATAAATTAAAGTTGTTCAAAGCATGCGCCTATATCGAGTATCTTTGAAAAATATAAGATTTATTAAGTTGTAGATATTGTTCCTACAGAAACAAGTACCTACCAGAACTAATGATTTACATTGTACTCACAGGAAACAATGGTCTTACCACAGCATTATACGTGTTATTTCTTTGATAGGACCAGCGTGGATTATTATATCTTTATGTCATATAATGTACCAAGATTTTATATCATTACATTTTTAATGTTATCATAATCCTCTCGCATCATGACAATCTCAAAGTTGTCTCAATTAAACACTTGTAAAAAGTTTTTACAAAACAAAAAGGACATCAGTAATAACATACCAAGATAATGATGTTTGACCAGTTTTTGTTGGTAGTCGAATAATTTGAATAAAGGTCATAGACGAGTGGGGTTGACTGTGTTTTGTATTGTTAAGCACTTCCACAATATTTCCCACAACTTTGATAATCCGGTCCGATCGTGTGAGATGCTGAATGCAAAATCAGCAATGTCACCATTACCAAAAGGCTTTATTCTATACAAGAAAAAAGTCTGAGTCTACAATTTAATAACGTTATACATTGCTAGTTCAATTCTCGGTATCCTCAGCGTCACCCTCTATGTGAATGCTTGGCGCGTTCATAGTTCCTCCTTGCCCTGTTGATTCTTCCATTGGCTTTTGTTTTTTCTTTTTCTTTTTGCTGATGAGAGGTGGAAGGGGATAGCCCTTATTTCCATATGTGTCCTTCCTGGGAGGGGGCGGGCCCGGAAGTCGTCGCCCTATCCATTCATTTGATTCTTGAACTGAGAGAGAAAACAAATGCTTGCAATAACATTTATACATTAAAGTTTTGAACATTACTAAGCCAGCTGAATTTTCAAATCAGGTTATTACGTTAAAGGGATTCTCAAATGCGGCTTATAATGATGAAACAAAACATGAATTGTTTAGATAAAACGTGGTATAAGCACAACAGAAACACACAACATTAACTTTCCTTGTTTGTAGTTTGACTTAATTACAAACAGAATCAGTTTGTGGATTAACATTGTTTACATATGTTAAACGTTCTGTATCTCGCTTTTATCTTCAACATACCTACAAAACCCGTTCTGATGAACACTATGTTTTTCATTGGTAACACGTCACGTAAATTCAAATGGACCATTACTAATCGAATGCTTAATATGCACTTTATTTTACACCTGTTTGTGAAATAATATGGGAGTAGGAATACTATTTGAGAAATAACCTCTAATGACGGCATTAGACAATACTAATTACGTCGTTAGACAGTATATAAATATGACATTCATTAGCAGGTGACAGTGAATATTGACAACCCCCAAACACCCATTGTCACCCCCCGCTTCGCCTCCGGTGTCAATGGTTTTCTCCGGTTGACAATATTCACTATCACCTGCTAATGAATGTCATATCTTTTTTGTTACACCAAAAGTCTTTGTAGCTCAGAAACGGCAGCAAACCTCGATAATGACATCTTGTCTGTTGATAGTCTGCTGTTTACAATCGCTATCGCACCGGCGTTTGATAAAATTGGCTGTTGCCGTCAAACGTTCTTTCGACCATCACGGTGGGGAAACGGAGCGGTGAACGCACATTTTTCGCGCATGTGATATTTTTCACTGTCTCATGGCAATATCACCCGCGCCCCTTAACACCAATGTATTTTCGGAGGGTGACAGAGATTTTTGTTTAATTTTCTCCCAACCAATCAAATAGCTAGAAATTCACTTGAGGTGTAACAATACATATTACGTCATTAGATGGTACATATAACGTAATTAGACAGTAAATATCACGACAATAGACCGTACATATTACGTCATTGGACAGTACATATTACGTCATTAGACCGTACATATTACGTCTTTGGATAGTATATATTACGTCATTAGACCGTACATATCACGCCATTGGACAGTTCATATTACGTCATTAGACCGTACATATTACGTCATTAGACAGAACATATTACGTCATTAGACCGTACATATTACGTCATTGGACAGTACATATTACTTCATTAGACCCGTACATATTACGTCTTTGGACAGTATATAAATATGACATTCATTAGCAGATGACAATGAATATTGTCAACCCGAGAAAACCATTGTCACCCGAGGCGAAGCAGAGGGTGACAATGGGTGTTTGAGGGTTGACAATAATCACTGTCACCTGCTAATGAATGTCATATCTATTTTTTTACACCAAAAGTCTTTGTAGCTCAGAAACGGCAGCAAACCTCGATAATGACATCCTGTTTGTTGATAGTCTGCTGTTTACAATCGCTATCGCACCGGCGCTTGATAATATTGGCTGTTGCCGTCAAACGTTCTTGTGACCATCACGGTGGGGAAACGGAGCGGTGAACGCACATTTTTCGCGCATGTGATATTTTTCACTGTCTCATGGCAATATCAAATTTTAAACCAATGTATTTTGGGAAGGTGACAGAGATTTTTGTTTAATTTTCTCCCAACCAATCAAATAGCTAGAAATTCACTTGAGGTGTAACAATATATATTACGTCATTAGACCGTACATATCACGCCATTGGACAGTTCATATTACGTCATTAGACCGTACATATTACATCATTAGATAGAACATATTACGTCATTAGACAGAACATGTTACGTCATTAGACAGTACATATGACGTCATTAAACAGTACATATAACGTCATTAGACAATACATATAAGGTCATTAGACAGGACATATTACTTCATTAGACAGGACATAATACGTTATTAGATAGGACATATTACGTCATTAGACAATATATATAACGTCATTAGACAGTACAATTTATATCATTAGATCGTACATATTACGTCATTAGACAATATATATAACGCCATTGGACAATACATATTACGACGTTAGACAATTCATATAACGTCATTAGACAATACATATAACGCCATTGAACAATACATATTACGACATTAGACAATACATATTGCGTCATTAGACAGCACATAAAACGTCATTAGACAATATATATAACGCCATTGGACAATACATATAACGCCATTGGACAATACATATTACGACGTTAGACAATTCATATAACGTCATTAGACAGCACATATAACGTCATTAGACAAAACATATTTTATATGTTCAGAATGCCCTACCTTCTTTCAGGGGATCTTTTGTAGCGAAAATATCGGTTTCCATTCCAGATTTCCCGAAATCGTTCCAAAATCGGTCCACATCTGTTCTGGTGTGTAAAACTCCCTTCTTCTGAAGATCATCCGATAACAGCACCATCTTCAATCAAAATTACATTATATTACAACTATATCAGCTTACAGGTTTACAAAATAAATAAATAGACATCAAAAATAGATACATAAATTAAATCATTAAATAGAACATAAATGCATCCCATTTCTTCAACTACACACACACACTTCCACTACGTTTTCAGAGATCAATGATGCATCAATATATAGCTAGCATCAAAATTGTTTTAAATATAAATCCTTTTTTTTATTTTTTCCCCCGTTGTTTAAGGTTCATAAATTTAAAACCCTGCACACAGTAAGTAAAAATAACTCAAATGTAATCCTGATGTCATTTAAGTTTTGAAATATCATACGTCCTTGTTACATGTATGAACTTCTTAATCAAACGACAATAACACGGGAATATATGACAACTTGTGTTATTTAACAAACCTTTGTAAACTTAGATTTTGGAAGTTTCTTGAGATATTTTCTGTCATGGACGTATTCCATCTTAGGCCTTTTTAATACAAGATATCGCCGTTTTTTATCCTGGAATGAAAGAACCAAAGTTAGAAAATCTTAAAAATATCTTATCAACCGTATAAACGTAATACTCGTGAAGTGTCCTCATTGGAATATACTGACGGACGTCACGTTGGAAAACTTCGTGATGCCATTATTCATATATATATTCAAGGCATTATAATTTATTGGATAGTAGGTAAATGCACAGTTTACAACGGTAATAATTTCATTGATATACTCTGAAATCCCTAATTTATGTTGTGGTTTTAATTTCGTTGATTTCGTGGAAAATCTTCATCCAAGAATTCATAGGTCCACGAAATAGTTACAAGTTTGACTTCAAGCAATTCTCCGTTTGAGTTTGAACTCGTAACCAACGAATTCATGAACCCACGATTTATTTAAAAAAAATTGCAATTTTAAAACACGAAATTTGGACCCACGAAAATATCTGATTTCACAGTATGTGAGTGTCAAGTGAAACAAGTTCCTAAATTTATCACATTTGTCAACATAAATGTACTTCATTAAGCAGCTATTATGTTTTAGAAAATTTTACAGCTGCATTTGTAAAAGATAACTTTATTCTACTTCTAAATATGTGTATAGTGTACTATCAATGTGATAAGATGAATGAGTTGTGGTTGATTATAATGTTTATCTATTTCGAGTAAGTTGATTTTCAAAATGTATAAAGACATGGTGTTTATTTCATCGAGTTTGGGGACCTTTTTTCTCCCACAACGTCAATATATATATATAGAAAATCATATGTTTCGTTTTAGGAATACGTTATTCGCGTTTCCCATCCTGGAAACAATTTTCATGTTCATTGACGTCACAATGGAAGATGACGTCGCAAGGCATTGTTACATGACTTCATAACTAGAAGATTGACCAATGAAATCACGCCCAGGGTGTTACCCACTAGTAGGTAACCAACAAGGTTTACCAACTCCCAGCAGGTTGATCTAATGAGTCTGAGGTGAGGAAACCTTTCGTGGCTGTTGGAGAGATACGTTTACAATATACTATGACCCATTTAAAAACCCTTAATGTATAGATGTATCCTAACACATGGAATAGATTAATTGGAGTTAGATAAATACTTACAATCAACTACCCATTGTTGACAAGCTATAATAAACAATACTAGTACCTCTTCCTCCTTCTGTCGCAGACGTTCTGTTAGATCCTCGTATTGCTTTTTGCGTGCTTCTCGTTGAATCTCGACTTTAGCTTTCAAATTTTTTATGTATTTTTCATATTTTTCCATTTGATCTCTAGCGACTGCCTCGATTCGTATAGCTCTTTGCTGAAAACATATAATACTAAATTAATACAATGCTCTACTTTTGAAAAGTCATTTAGTGTAGAGTGAATTGTTTTTAAGATATGTCTAAATTTACTAAAATCGGTGAAACCTTGTTAATTCGAAATGTTTTTTGAATTATTTAAAACAAGGACACGTCAACAACATGTAAATGAAAGAGACTTTTAAGTTCAAGGAAAGTATTATGAGGTTTGATATTTGATTTTATGAGAAAAATCGGAATTAATTTAATATTTTACCTATTTATATGTATGAATTCATCCAAAAAGCTACCCAATAAAATTCTTAAATTCAAAGAAAATGTAAAATGAATGTTTAAAATATTATCGAAAATGTATAAAAAGTGATGCATTCCATTAAAATGACGTTAACCGCTATATTTAGTTTTAGAAGTGTTTATAAGCTAAACTTTGTGGTGAAAGTTATTTACATCGTTAGAAATGGTTTAGTTATTTGGATACTATTGATAATAATATAATAAATTAAAGAAGTAATGTAGTGTATTAACTGAGGCTATAGTGACCGCTTGGTTATATTAATACGCTTTGAATTCATATACATGTACAGTGTAAATATATCATTACACGTAGCCTATGGTGTAGCTGATATACGTTCGATCATACAGAAGATAAGTATTGGGAATACACAAGGAATGTGTATCTTACAGTAGCGTAATTATACATGCACATGCCAACCGTAGCGAAATATACACTGTATATTGTATGAACCTTTGATATGAAAATGCATGATGTTCATACTAGCACGTAAAAAGTATAACAACAGCTTGACCATCACAATATGCCTTAGAATGCAATCATCATATAATCATACCTTGTTAAGTTCTATCAAACATATTCACTTCTTTCAAACAAATTTTCACAACCACAACATGCGTGTTACCACTATAATCAATCACATCACGTATGTTACCACTATAACAGATCACATCACGTGTGTTACCACTATTACCGACCACATCACGTATGTTACCACTATAACCGATCATATCACGTATGTTACCACTATTACCGATCACATCACGTATGTTACCACTATAACCGATCACATCACGTATGTTACCACTATAACCGATCACATCACGTATGTTACCACTATAATCGATCACATCGCGTATGTAACCACTTTTATCGATCACATCACGTATGTTACCACTATACTCGATCACATCACTATGTTACCACTATAACCGATCACATCACGTATGTTACCACTATAACCGATCACATCACGTATGTTACCACTATAACCGATCACATCATGTATGTTACCACTATAACCGATCACATCGCGTATGTAACCACTTTAATCGATCACATCACGTTTTCTAAGTTTTATATTATTATATAAATATTATTATACAAACATTATGTTATAATTATTGCGATATAAAGATTATCATAAAGATAGTATTGTATGAAAATTACATAAAGAATATTGTCGGTACTTCATGTTGTCGTGTGGTAATAAAACAAAACAAAAACACCATTTTTAGTGTTTTAAACATGTTTTGATTTCATCAATAGATATATATACGAGTTAAAGAATAGAAAAGGAAGGTTTGGTGCTGAACCCGTATTTTATTTATCAACACATGATTCGTTAATAAATTTAATAATGAAATATATGTGATAAAATTTAAATTCTTGCTTCATGTTTCAAATGATCCTTTAAAGTTGGTTATCAGAAATTACATAATACTTAACGTTTTAAGAAAATAGTTAACATATATACAAGCTGAAGTAAGCCACAGAGTAACGAGTGGGTACATCTAATCCGTCACCAGACCTTCCACCAGAACGATACAATACCCTTTGCCCAATAATACACGGAGATAAAACACAATAGTTGAAGGGTTGGAGATAAATAGTTAGATAACAGCCTTCACCATTAAGTTAAGGATCCCCATACCACTGCAGACAAAACACTAGCGAGTTCTACTGACGGTCCCGCACACACAGTAACTTCCCCTTAACTTCTTTTGATGTTATACAAGGAACTGTAAGGCGACTTGGCAAGGGGACTACTCGACCGAGAAGCTCAGTAAGTTAGAGTTAGGTTATAACGACTGGATGTCCACGGTTCGAATCTTGGTCCGGTCCTATTTCAGTTTAACACTCAGAGTCCTGTTGTTGATTCTTTATAGAATAACATGTACAGTGGTACTGGAATCCTCGCATCGTTATTAATTTATAAGGCGCTAAGTGTATCCTTGTATCATATGGAAAAAATTTATAGGGCGCTAAGGGTACCCTTGTATCATATAGAAACAATGCATAGGGCGCTAACTGTATCCTTGTATCATACGGAAACAATTTATAGGGAGCTAATTTTATCCTCGAATCATATGGAAACAATGGATAGGGCGCTAAGTGTACCATTGTATCAGATGGAAACAATTTCTAGGGCGCTAAGTGTATCCTTGTATCATATGTAAACAACGTATAGGGCGCTAAGTGTTCCCTTGTATCATATGGAATCAATTTATAGGGTGCTAAGTGTGCCCTTGTATCATATGGAAAAAATTTATAGGGCGCTAAGTGTATCCTTGTATCATATGGAAACAATGTATAGGGCGCTACGTGTACCCTTGTATCATATGGAAACAATTTATAGGAAGCTAAGTGTACCCTTGTATCATATGGAAACAATTTATAGGGCGCTAAGTGTACCCTTGTATCATATGGAAACAATTTATAAAGTGTCGCATATACTAGGTAAACATATTTAACTTGCTCATTAACATTAAATACCTTTTAAGATATTCTTACTTCTTTGATTATAAATTTCACGTGATTTCCTTCTTTAATACTATAAGTACTTAAAACTGGCATTGTAATGTCAGCTTAATGCATGTTACGTGTTTGATAAGGAATTATTCATCATCAGTATGTTAAAGTTGCGAATATTTGATCGTTAACTAAATTATCGCAAATGCTTTGGACAAAATCAGCATCATAGCATTTAAAAACATCCTACCGTTTTCCAATACAACTTATCAAGACTAGCAGATACGTGAGGTTGATTATGCCTGCTAATGATCATTAACGAGTTATACAAAAACCTTTCATAATTTCTGCTTAATAACATTACAAAATCTCCTATATTTTTAATGTACGACAGAGTCATCATTCTCTATAAGGTTGGAGTCTTTTAGTCAATGACGTATCTCGGTATGAATATTTAATTTGGAGAAATTTTGTCAAAATTTATACCAGTCCCCTTTTTAAACCCCCTTTTTATCATTCCTTAACTTGGACTGGAAGAGTAAAACAGAGAAATATTGACGTAAACATTCACACAGCCACATCATAGCCAATATCTATAAAATACATGTTAAAGTAGGAAAGACAAAAAGCGTTAGGACAACTTACTTTTATATTGTACCCCTATAAACATACATATATCAACTTATAGGTTAAGTCTGCACACATCCTTCGAACGATTAGGAAAATAATAGCATAGCAACACAGATACGTTGACATAAAATATTGAAAGGAACTCGTACTCAAAATAACTATACTATAATATATTTGTAATGCATTATTGTTCTCCAGGAAGCTGTTTTAACGTCAAACATAAAGCAAATCATTACAATAACGACCCAAAAAGATCATAAAATGATTATCATAAACAAGTATTTATAGAAGAAAGCAATATACAATTGTTACTTTCATAAAATGAGAAAGGCAGGACAACACTCTATACAATTTGATTAAGGCGTGGACAATGATATAATCTGTATTGACAATAACCTAGCAGCTGTAACCAATGTAGTTTATGTTAAATGTAAGCAGACATACACTGAAGTTGAGTTATGCCTCGTTCCATAGATATGTTAACGTTTATTTCCAAGATCGTTAATGGCATATTGAAATATCTGAGACTTTTTGTACGATTATCGCAAAAAACAAACCGATTTTGTTTCCCCTCGTTTAAATTATAACCATTTTCAGGGCAATAGTGAGACTATAGTTTGACGTAAATTTACTGATCAATAGTTTGATACTTATTTTTAAGACATGTATTATTTGTTTAAGAATTCAGTTTGACAATAACTGAGACATAAGTATTTCTTTAGAGCAAAAGCGACTGGTTTAACTAATAATATATGTCATATATCTGAGTGCAAATCGACAACACAACAATTAAGGTTTTGGCGCATGGTAGTATTCAGAACATCAATCACGATATACATACTTCCTGTTTTGTGCGTGATTCTATGACTTGATCCCAGTCCACCTTTCCTTTTTCTGTACCTCTCTTTGACTGTTGCATATGTCGTCGACGCCCGCCATGTCTTTTGACGATAAGGTCGTTTTTATCGCCTCCCTTATTAACAAAACAATGCATATAAAATACTAAGGCTTTTTTTATTACTCATTGCATACTGTTATAAAACTAACATATTTATGTGTAGCCGACATCAGGATAAACACAGTCAGCTCAAATCATTTTGGTAATTTTATTTGACTCGGGTACATTGACTACATCGTTAGCAGTGTACAGTTGTGCTAATGGTTAAACTGCTTCTAAATCACATTAAATCGTGTAACAGTCCAGTGCATATCGTTAACATATTCAGTTTAAACTTTATTATATTGTAAATATATTACAGGTGATACAAATGATATTCATAATGCAAGGATTCGAAAATAAGTACAGAGTATCGATGCATTAAGACTTAAAGAAAATAAAGGGGAGGGTGCAAGAGGGATACGGAGGAAAGAAGGGCTGCGTATTTAAAAATGGTATAGTCTTAGCTTCATATGTGATTTAGCTATATAACTTTTTAATTCTAATGAAGGTTTCAGTCTCCCTTTAAACATTGTACTTTGTGTGTAGTTACCTCCTCCAGTATCGGATGCTGATAGAGGTTCAGTATACTGGGAAAGCTTGATGTGGTCCGTAGTTTAAAACTATGTTTACTCAGCCGTGACACAGGGATGAAGTTGTCTGTTCCGGTCGTGTAATTAGACCCCAGGGTAAAGGCCGTAGAGCCTGTACTGGCCACTGTGTATTTGTCATCGTTATCGTTGTCTGTATATGTGTCGTGTTGTTCGTGGATTGACTGAAAAAAGGAAAAACAATTAATTCAATCATTGATGATCTAATAGGCATAAGTTTGTCCATCGACTGACTGACTGCAAAAGAACACAAATAAACGGAAAAAAATGCAAAAAGAACCCACTAAACATAAATAAACTAACACAGAGTCAACATAGGAAAGATTCAATGTCTGAGTGTTGATTGTACATTATTTCACCCAACCACACTTTATCTACTTCATGACGCCATTGGTGGTTTTTTTTTACATTTCACATTTCACCTCAGTTCACGGGTTTGATTTCGAAAAATCATTCCTCAAAAGGTACATTTTTTGAGTTATGTTTCATCAATATTGTTTCATCGACGACACACAGTCATTATTATAGAACTCAGTCAGTTTTCTGATAGGTAAACGCCTTTTAAGAATGTTCATTGGCAAGCCAATATCAGATGGCAACGCTTAAGTACATAATATATGTGGTAATTTTGCATAAAGGTACCGTTCAATCATAATGTAAGAATATGTTTGGCTTGAGATAGGGAATCTACCCGTAAGGGATCTGGATTGAAGACAACCCCGACTCTCTACTAAGGATGGACTAATCAATCGTTAAGAAACCTGATTGATTTTTTGTGTCTTTATTTAACATATGACTTGCATTATGTTACCTACTAAATAAAATGTGAGTTCACTTTATTGTAGAATAATAACGTCATGTAAATTATTGTCTTATTGTCACGTCATACTTCCCATTGTTTGCTTGTGTTGCAAAATCAAATGTGGAAGATAAAAAATGGTTATATATTGTCTTAACATTAAAACAAATACACTCGAAAGCTATTGGTAGTCTCAGGACTAATACATATGTTATTATAATATACACTACTTAATGTAACTTTTATATCAAAATATCAGCATCACGTGCACTTCTGGGCGCTATTCTGTATCGACTTAAACTCAAATATGACTCCTGCTCCAAATAAACGTCGTCGCATTCGAACAGAAAAAAAGAGAATGTCACACAAAAATAAATACGTATCTTATTACATATGATATATTATATATATATTTCAACCAAAGTTTAGATGATTAAAAATGTTTGCACGAAGATAAATTTGTCTCATACAGCAAACAAAGTAGTGATAAAAATATATATTTGATGTTTCAAATTATATATCGTAATACGTTTAAGGAATTCTCATCGAATATCATGGATCCATATCAAGACTTTCCAATCGGTCATTTGATCATGGATTTATTATTTTTGATCAATGTAAGAATGAATTTATTGGAAATATGATATGAAAATAGACCTCGTCTTGTCTGAATATATATCAACAGATTTTTTATCTGATACTGGCAGGTACAAATTTAAAGGTAATTTGTAACAATTACAAGAACAAAACGACAACTGTGAAGCGCAATCTATGTAGGTATATTCCTTGATAAATCTAAAATGTATTTTATCCAACGATAAGAACTTTTATTTAAAATAAATATTACTCATTTTTGTTCCAATCAAAGAAAAGACGCGCCCGTTCTATAGATCATATCAAAGCAAACACTACAACGTACTTGTACCACACAAAATTCTGGACTGATAAACTAAAACTCTAATCCTACCCAATAGTCTGTTAAAAATAAAATTACATCATATTTTATTTAGAAATCCAGGCCTCCGGTATCACCAGGTTGGTCGTCCTAGACAATGGTTAGTGAATCATTCAAAGTGCTGCCAATGAGAAGCATAGGTTTTTAAAGCAAAATAAATCTTCAAAACACATAATTTTATTTGTCTCAACCACTCGTTAGCATTTAAATTATATCAGATGTTTGTTATTTTATTGTAGTCCTATTAACATATTGTTCCTAACTCCTTGTTAATTTTAGCTGAGGTTTGGAGGTAAGAATGTATCTGTATCTTTTCATTCGAATGAATATGTGGGATATTTGTTATCGAATAACATGTATATTATTTTTGGAACTTTTAATGTTTTTAATGCTTGTTATAGAATAGCAAGTTATAGTATATTTACATCACATTGACAATAATCAAGAAAAATGTCCAAACTTCATGTCGAAACCAAACCAAACCAAAGGAACTGGTTTTATTTGAAAGATTTTCAAACCAAACAAGAAAAACGAATAGTTTAGATGTATCCTAACAAAAAAAGGAGCATGAACCCTTCAAAAATAACACTTTATTAACCGTCCCTATCTGATCTACAAGGAGGTATTAACAAACACACGGGAATTTGTTATCAAGTGTAATCAATTGTTTGTTTGTTATAGAGACGAGACAAGTCTGATTATTATAGCGATATTATGGTGTAGTGACGGTATAGCAGCTGATTGACAGCATCACTGCTACAATAGAATACAAATTAGTGCGAGACAGTTTGACAGCAATATATAATCGGCTGCTAAGATCAGCTGATTATATGCAAACATTTTGACATGCATCTCACACATAAGCTACCTTTAGGTAAAAAGTGATTGTAATAAATGTATTTGTTTATTTTGACGCAACAAAACAACAAATTGAAGAATACATAAATCTGCTATGTCAGTGTTTAAAACGCTTGTAAACTTAAAGGAAATGTTTGTCTTGAAATGCATCTTAAACGAATAGGCTGTAGACTATGTGGGTCACTAGTCAGGTCCCACGATACATGTACTGTGATACACGTACAAGGTAGACTGTGACGGATCACTAGACAGGACCCACGATACATGTTCTGTGAAACACGTACAAGGTAGAGTGTGCCCGATCACTAGATAGGTCCCACGATACATGTTCTGTGAAACACTTACAAGGTAGACTGACGGATCACTAGACAGGTCCCACGATCCATGTTCTGTGAAACACGTACAAGGTAGACTGCCGGATCACTAGACAGGTCCCACGATCCATGTTCTGTGAAACACGTACAAGGTAGAGTGTGCCCGATCACTAGATAGGTCCCACGATACATGTTCTGTGAAACACGTACAAGGTAGACTGTGACGGATCACTAGAGAGGTCTCACGATACATGTTCGGTGATGCACGTACAAGGTAGAGTGTGACGGATCACTAGACAGGTCCCAAGATACATGTTCTGTGATACACGTACAAGGTAGACTTTGACGGATCACTAGACAGGTGCCACGAGACATGTCCTGTGAAACACGTACAAGGTAGACTGTGACGGATCACTAGAGAGGTCTCACGATACATGTTCGGTGATGCACGTACAAGGTAGAGTGTGACGGATCACTAGACAGGTCTCACGATACATGTTCTGTGAAACACGTACAAGTTAGACTGTGACGGATCACTAGACAGGTCCCCCGATACATGTTCTGTGAAACACGTACAAGTTAGACTGTGACGGATCACTAGACAGGTCCCGCGATACATGTTCTGTGAAACACGTACAAGGCAGACTGTGACGGATCACTAGACAGGTCTCACGATACATGTTCTTTGATACACGTACAAGGTAGAGTGTGACGGTTCACTAGACAGGTCCCACGATACATGTTCTTTGAAACACGTACAAGGTAGACTGTGACGGATCACTAGATAGGTCCCCCGATACATGTTCTGTGAAACACGTACAAGTTAGACTGTGACGGATCACTAGACAGGTCCCGCGATACATGTTCTGTGAAACACGTACAAGTTAGACTGTGACGGATCACTAGACAGGTCCCCCGATACATGTTCTGTGAAACACGTACAAGGTAGACTGACGGATTACTAGACAGGTCCCACGATACATGTTCTGTGAAACCCGTACAAGGTAGACTGACTGATCACTAGACAGGTCCCACGATACATGTTCTGTGAAACCCGTACAAGGTAGACTGACTGATCACTAGACAGGTCCCACGATACATGTTCTTTGAAACACGTACAAGGTAGACTGTGACGGATCACTAGAGAGGTCTCACGATACATGTTCTGTGAAACACGTACAAGGTAGAGTGTGCCCGATCACTAGATAGGTCCCACGATACATGTTCTGTGAAACACTTACAAGGTAGACTGACGGATCACTAGACAGGTCCCACGATACATGTTCTGTGATGCACGTACAAGGTAGACTGTGACGGATCACTAGACAGGTCTCACTATACATATTCTGCGAATCACGTACAAGGTAGACTGTGACGGATCACTACACAGGACCCACGATACATGTTCTGTGAAACACGTACAAGGCAGACTGTGACGGATCACTAGACAGGTCTCACGATACATGTTCTTTGATACACGTACAAGGTAGAGTGTGACGGTTCACTAGACAGGTCCCACGATACATGTTCTTTGAAACACGTACAAGGTAGACTGTGACGGATCACTACACAGGACCCACGATACATGTTCTGTGAAACACGTACAAGGTAGAGTGTGCCCGATCACTAGATAGGTCCCACGATACATGTTCTGTGAAACACTTACAAGGTAGACTGACGGATCACTAGACAGGTCCCACGATCCATGTTCTGTGAAACACGTACAAGGTAGACCGTGACGGATCACTAGATAGGTCCCACGATACATATTCTGTGAAACACGTACAAGGTAGACTGACGGATAACTTGACAGGTCCCACGATACATGTTCTGTGAAACACGTACAAGGTAGAGTGTGACGGATCACTAGAAAGGTCCCACGATACATGTTCTGTGATACACGTACAAGGTAGACTGACGGATCACTAGTCAGGTCCCACGATACATGTTCTGTGATACACGTACAAGGTAGACTGACGGATCACTAGGCAGGTCCCACGATACATGTTCTGTGATACATGTACAAGGTAGACTGACGGATCACTAGTCAGGTCTCACGATACATGTTCTGTGATACACGTACAAGGAAGACTGTGACGGATCACTAGACAGGTATCACGATACATGTTCTGTGATACACGTACAAGGGAGACTGTGACGGATCACTAGACAGGTCCCACGATACATGTTCTGTGATACACGTACAAGGTAGACTGTGACGGTCACCAGTCAGTTTGT